ATACAATTCGGACCACCCTGTATACATGCGTACGGAAATTTACGTACGTTTTTTTTAAAGTTACAGGATGTCAAAACTTTTAATAAATTGGTCTATTGTAACTATCTTAAAACCCATATTTTTTGGAATTTGCTGTAGATAGCGCTAAACATCAGTGGTATACATTTTAATAAAATTTAAAAATATATTAGAATAAATAATTAATAAATTTATTAATTTTATTTTTAATTCATTTCTATTAATTGTGATTAATAAAATTACGTTTATTTCATGAAGGAGATCGAAATCGACAAAATTTGAAGATACAACTTATATAATTTTGCTTACAAAAGAAAAAAAGTCAGTGGCGTACATGTTTTTTTGAGAAAAATATTTCAGTGATAACCCATATGTACGTCTCTGGTGAATTTGTCGACACCTTTTAGTATTAAAATATGTCGCACCTTTAGCAACTTTCATCCTCAAAGTGTCATTCGAATTGCGAAAAGCACTTGGAAGGTAATTATAATAAATTGAAAAAAAATATAAGACTTCAGACTCTTGTAGCTACGAAACAAAGCTGAATGGGACCTATATTGATATGAAAAATAACTCTTATTTTTACGCAAAGAATCTCCCCACGAGAGATGGCACATGTTTTTTGAAACACCCTGTAGAGAAGTGAAAATCGATCGAAATATTAAATAAATATTTGAGTAATAAAAACTAACTTTTGCAACTACTAAAAAGCCAAATGATTTTCTCAGATTAAGTAAGAAATAAAGATGTTCTAAAAGTAATTCTATTTTGTTTTATTTTTATCTTATATGTTTTGTTATATTGTGAAAATTAAAGTATTGTGGATATAAAATATTTGAAACTATCGCAAATTCACATCTAACGTTCACTGATGACATTAGAACTGTTATTCATCAAAAGAAAAAAAACAGCTAGCTTAACAATAATTGTTTGAAAAAGTTTATTAACATGAACGCAATAATTATCTGAAAATATGTTCAATTATCCAAACTACTTGCTTCAAAAAAAAATTAAAAAACAATACAGGGTGAGTCTTAAATAAGTGTAAATATTTTTAGGGGTAGTATATTTCGACTTCAGAAACATGATTACGAGGTTGTTTTCGTGAAAAAATAATTTTGAAAATTTGGAATTTTTTGAAAAAAAATTGGATTTTGTAGGTTTTCGTTAAAATCCATAATTTCTTTATAATATGGCAACATAGGTAGTAGATTAAATTTACAAGAAAGAAAACCTACAAAATATCCAGTGGTTCTCAAGATTTAAGCAAAAAAAATTTTTTTTTGGGATATTTTCAAAGTAAGATAACTCAGTTATTTTGGACTTATTTGAAAAAGGGTAAAGAGAATATATGTTTCTTTTATCGGGATCTACCAGTCCTGAAAATATTTGCACTTATTTAAGACTCACCCTATATAAAATGAACAAGTTTATAACATGCCGCAAGTTTGTTTGGACCGAGAGCAAGGTATTCTTTATGAAATTCACGTATAAAAAAATCTTAATTATAACATATTTTTTTTATCAAATTACAGCAGTAAATAAATTATGAATGAAAAATAGGGGATGCAAATTTTATTATTTATACCTTTGAATCCAATGAATTGTGGCGGTAAGACCCTTCCCTAAGTTGAACCTGTACCAAAGAGAAGAAAAAGAAGTTAAGAGTTAACCAAACACCAATTTAGAATAACTGATTTAGTAATAAAATACCTAATATAGGCAAACTTACTGTCATTTTTTATTGTACAGCATTTTACCTTGTTTCACTTTTAACAGACTTTATTTTGTTATTTTTTGAGCAAGAAAATGTTTATCAAATTGTTTAAACGGAGTACTCTGTATATTAAAAGTATATTCAAATTAACATTTCTTCTCATTTAAGAAAATATTGCCTTTCTATTTCACAGTTTTAAAAAAGACAGGTCTGTGTAATACATTTTTGAGGTTGATACATATGTATTGTGACACATATTTTGTCTAATACGCTTTTAATATAACGAGTATTTCTAAAAGTGGCTCACCCTATAACTTTTTATTTTTTCAGACAAAAAAACGAGATTTGGTAAGTTAGTATATACCATAAATCAGGATTGATTGACGTATTCAATTGTTTCCATTCACTTCCTGTTTCACCGGAAATGACAACTTTTGATTTTTAAACGACACCTTCGGTAATTTATAATTTATTAGATAGAAAATGACACTCTGAATAGAATGACTCATACTGAACTTTTTGATAAATGAACATTTGAAATTGTAACATGCGTTTCAAAACGATAATTTGACTCGAAATGCCAAGTGTATGATACCAAATTATTGGTAAAAAATGCTTTTTACAAATATGGTAATGAGCCACCCCCGAGGCCACCCCCGTTCCATTTTTAAAGTTACGATTAGGGCGCCTGTTAACCGGCCAAGAACACATGAAAAACATTAAACGATCAATTCTAATTTTTCAAGGCTCCTTGATTAAAAATTAGTGTTTTTAACACAGCCATGGCACTCCAGATTGAAATTTAAAATACGATTTTTTAAGCAAAAATGTCAAAAGTTGACATATGATATGTCATTCTATTCAGTGTCATTTTCTATCGAATAAAATAAAAATACTGATGGGGCTATTTAAAAAGTTGTAGTCATTTCCGGTGAAACAGGATGTGACCGAAAACAATTGAATACGTCAATCAATCTTAATTTATATTATATACTAACATACAAAATCTGTTTTTTTATCTGAATAAAAAGAAGTTATAGGGATGATCCACTTTTGAGAAACACCAGGTATAGTGTGTCTCATTAAAAAAAAATAGATTAACTGCATAACTGCAAAATGTATCATTGTATGTCATTTTAAGTTAGTCATTTAGAAGCGGGACAAAATAAAATGCCAAAACCATAATATTATTATCATTCATTTTGAAATTTATTTCTGTTTGTACAAAGAAGACTTGGATTTTTCGTACACTTTATATTTTTGTTATATTTTTCTCATTTCCTTTTTGCAAAGTTTATTGTTATTATTAATAATTCATTATTTACCTATGGTGAATAACTTTTATTTTCTTAAAAAATGACAGTAATTATTATTCTAGCATTTTATATAAGAACATTCAATAAATATTTACAAGGAGAATAAATATTTTACAGATAATAATGTTGATTTTAATAATTACAGCAGATGTTATGACGATCAGATCTATCAACAAAAATTAATTTAATACTACGATTTGCAAAATTTGTTTGACTTGTTTGGAAGCTAATTTTTCTAATATTCAAGATACAAAGATTTTCTACTTAGAAATTGCTTTTCTATACTTGAATTCATTGTTTCTTTTCGACATGGTGCCTTATGCTTAAAATAAATGATTAGAAAAAGGATTTTTTTTTTGTGTAATAATTAGAAATTTTGTGTAAATATCAGAATTTTTAAAGATTCACAAAATATGAATCAAATATATACTTTTTTTAAATGGGAGACCATGTATATTATTTTTTTGATTTTATTTGCCTTGTTATGACCTTTCTATAAAATGCTCTATACTAATTTTCATACATAAGACAAAGAATGCATTATTTAATTTTTTAATCAACATAAATTAACCTAGTTTAAAAGAGTATTACTATTTTATTCCATTTAATTTAACCAGATAATTTTGCTTTCTATGTTAACAAAACTGAACTGAAAATTACTTCTGTGCAGCGTTTAGATAACAGGCTGTCAATCACAGATATTTATATTTTTGATACACTTCTGCAATAATTTCACACACAGAAATTAGTGAGGCCAATAACCAAAATTTGACGTCGAATAATTTATTCGATGGTGTTGATTACCTAATTTAAACCGGACGCATATATTAAAAAGTTAAATAATACATTTTTACGTCGTTTATTAAAAGAAGTATAGAGTATGTTATATTTTGAAAAAACTCATAACAAAGCAAATAAATTAAAAAAGCAATATACAGGGTGTCCCGTTAAAAAAAAACGTAAGTTTGCCTCATATTTCAAGAATAACAGTTTCTAGTGAAAAATTAGTTAAGCCACTGATAGCTATATGAAAAACTCTATGAGACTCATCAAATAATACAACAATTTCAAATTTGACCTGTATAAGTCATTACTTTGCTGATTGATGCGATTTTTACATTTTTTTTATTTTTACTTTAGAGCAACACTGCAAAACATACGAAAATAGTGCACGCTGTACATACAGGAGAAAATAAAAATAAAATATAAAAATAAGAGGTGTAATAAATAAAAGCAACATAAACAATCAGAGATTATATCTAGTTAGACATACCAGTATCTTAAAAGCGTTAATAAATGAGCGTATCTTAAATTCAAAAAGCGTCAATTAATAATATTATCAAAACTAATTCTGTTCCACTATACGGGTGACAATAATTTGAAAACGAACAGTATTTAATATTGCCTCTACCCATGATAGTATGAAAATTTGGCGAAACACGTCAGTTTACATATCAAGGGGAACAATTTTTGAGGCATTCGTTGTCGTGGTACTTTCAACCCTTTGACCCCCAGGGTACCTACCCCTAAAATTTAAAGAGCAACCCCTATTTCTTTTACTATTTTTGTGTTTCTTACAGAATTTGAGAATTTTATAAGGAACATAAAAATGGTAAAAGAAATAGGGGTTGCCATTTAAATTTTTAGGGGTAGGTGCCCTGGGGGTCAAAGGGTTGAAAGTAACACGACAATAAATGCCTCAAAAATTGCTCCCCTTGATATGTAAATTGACGTATTTCGCCAAATTTTCATACATATTATTTCAATCAAATTTGATACATATCATCGGCAGAAGTAATATTAAATACTGTTCGTTTTCAAATTGTCACCCTGTATAGTAAATATACAATAATACATTTATTGAGATAGATCTGATTGTTATAAACAGTTAGTATTCTCTATGCTTGTATCTATATACAAAAATAACTAATCTGAGTTTAAAGGCTTACCCTCCAAAAGTATTTCCGATTTGCGGAGCTCGGAACCGCATCTTTGGCGTATATTTCTCCCACGAGGGGGCCAAATCTTGTCCCTCGTGGGATATATCCCGTGCTCCACACTCCTTGTGCCTGCAACATTAAAAAAATATTTAAATATCAGTTACAAAATAGAAATGATTTTTTAAAGTAAAATATTCTTAAAACATATATTTACTCATTAAATTTGTGATAAATAATTTACAGTCTATCTAGTAAATCTACTTTTGACCCTCTGGTACTCGGCACACCTTTGATTTACTTAGATACACCGGGTGCGTCTCAAAAGTGGATCAGATCACACCTATAACTTTTTTAATTTTTTCAGATAACAACAAACGAGATCTGACATCCATACCAAATCTGATTGTGTTATTTGAAAAAATAAAAAGTGGTTGAGTCACTTTTGAGACGCACCCTGTATTGGTGAGAGAATGTCACAATAATTATCTTCCGCCACTTGTATTCTTTAACCGTAGTGTGTAGGTGTGTGTCCTAATAGATAGTCGCAATCACGTCACTAAAATTTAAGAAATACTTCTTTTGGATGTCGAGCAACCAACAATATTTACTAAATATAAGTACAGGGTGTTCCATTTTCGTGTGGTTTATGGGATTTCTCTTTTATGAGTAGAGATACAAAGATGCGGTTTTCAAATCACTGAGGTATTTTTTTTTTGAAACTAAAGATGCTACACACATATTGGGCTTAGACCTCTTAGTTCCTGAAATACAGGAAGAATTTAAAAATGTTGTATTTTTCACCTTTCCTTGTATCTCGGTTATCCTATATAACTTAGAAAAAAGGTGAAAACTGATTTTCATAGAGTTTTTAATGTAGAATCTATCGGCGTAACTGGTTTTTCGCTGAGAGCTGTCATTTTCGAAATATGACTCAAACTTATTTTTTTAAATGGGACACCCTGTATATTACTTTTTTAATTTATTTGGCTTATTATGAGGTTTGTAAAAATATGATACTCTATATACTTATTTTCATAAAGTAAAAATTGCGTTATTTAACTTTTTTTAATATAAACCAATCTAGCTTAAAAGAGTACCTATTATTATTTTATTTAATTTAATTTAACTTCATAATTTTGCTTATCGTCGTGTTTTATTAATAAACTGTTTAGCTAACACCAATTTATCAATCAGAGTTATTGATATTTTTGATGCACTTGTCCCATAATTCTACACACTGAAACTAGCGTGGAATACTCAATAACCAAAATTTTAGGTCATATAAATTATTTGATTGTTTTGATTACCCAATTTAAATCGGACGCCTATGTTACAAAAGTTAAATAATGCTTATTTATGAAAATAAGTATAGAGTATACTATATTTTTAGAAAGCTCATAATAAGACAAATAAAATAAAAAATAATATGTAGGTTATTCCATTTAAAAATACATATATATTCGGGTCATATTTTAAGATTGACAGTTCCCAGCGAAAATTTAGTTACGCCACTGGGTTCTGCGTGAAAAACTACATGGGACCCACAAATTATACGATAACTGACATACGACCGGGGTTAAAAAATGCAACATTTTCAAATTCGCCCTTTATTTCAGAAACCAAGGGGGCTAGGATAAATCTATGTTTAGCTTCTTTAGTTCCTTAAAAAAATAGTACAGTAAGGTAAAAACTGCATCTTTGTATATCTACTTATAGACGAGAAACCCCACAAAACACACGAAAATGGGACACCCTGTATATTATTTGAAAATATTGCATGTACAAAAAAGATCTAAAACTGGCGAAGGAAAGAAAGTAAACTGAATGGATAATATGTAACATCCAACAATACACTCCGTCACTGTTATATATAGTGTCCCAGTGTCCCTGTATATAAGCGATAATAAGAAATATCTCGATTAAACATATTTAATCAAAAAACATATCAAAACATATCGTATTTATTGAATATTTTTGTTGTTATATTCATACACTTTTAATTTTTGTATAGTTCACCTGCGTCTGCTTGCGACAAACTTTATTTTATAATACTTTTCAGATGGAGTAAAATTGATAAGCAATGCCGAGCTTATTTATACTTGGCTTGATCATAAGGACAAGAACTCAAAATTATTTGTATATCAAAAAATGTGTTCTTTATTAGATATTGATGAACCTTCCAGTCAAATGAGACACCACTTGTGCCTGGAAAAGCCAACTATGTTGGAGCGAAACGTCGCATAAAAAAAGTTTCCATCTTTCAATTTATTATAAAACCTCATACCCAAGAAAAGGAAAAAATAATATATGGATATGGTCTATTAAAGAGGTAACTATTAACATCCAAACCCCTCATACCAAGAAAAAGAACAGTAACAAGGCGAAAAAGTAACATATTAGAAAATGATGTACAGAAATATCTTATATGTGAGGATATTTCATCTACCTGTGATTTGGATACTATAAATTTGGAAGATTCTGTCAGCAGTGATTCTTCTGAATCAGAGTAGTTACGATCTATGCATTTTGTTGTCCTAAAGTAAATTTATAGTACCTTAATTTTTTTTTAATTAAATATAGCATTAATGTTTCTTTTTCATTAAAGAAAAACATTTTTATGTTATATTAGGCTTATATTGTAGGAATCATGTTCTAATGTTATTTCAATTCTTTTTTTATCACAGGGATGTATTTAATACTTACACCGTTTTCATACTATAAATTGTTATTTCCTTAGATGGACCACAGCTTCAACATTTTTATTATGTATAAGATTTTTTTTCATAAACGTGGGACTAAGAACCTCATCATTTAGTACAATGAGAGTACTCATCATTTGTGTTCAAATAAACCTAGTTTGAATAAATTGCCTACAATAAAAGAGAAGTTTTGCATTTTTGTCATCTAGAGCCATATGTTCGAAGCACTGTGCGGCAGTTGGTTATAATTATATGGCAGACCAATGACTAAAGAATTCAAGGACAAATAACACCCGAAAGCAAATCGTGACGATGTCACCAAACAGTGCCGTGGCACATATTTTTCTTCACCTAGCTGTTTGAAGAGATATTTATATTTTTTGATAAATGTTTTGACTACGCCTATGATGTATACGGTGGTATCGTACTAATTAATTACGAAAAAAAAAACGTATTAAAATGTTAAACAAATTAAAATGTTAAAAAAAACTAGTATCGACGTATAGCACACATCAAGTACATATAATATCAGAAAAATAATTATCGAATAATAAGAAAACTAAGAAAATTCTAAAAAGGTGGAGCGGACTGTTTTTAGCCTGTTTTATTTACCTGTTTATATTTTATTACTGTTTTCTTTACCTATGAAACGTAACTCCTGGCTCTTTCTTATCGCTGCTGCTTTTACACTTGAAAGCTGAACAACTAATCACCATTGTAATAAAGTTTATACAAAGTTCATTACACACAAACTATTAAAAATCGCTAAAATTGTCGCTGGTGACAAGATGACTCATTCGTTTCCATCAAAAGAAAGGCGTCTAAGATCACAAATTCTGCTGCAGCCCGTATATGGACGTTACATGTCCTTATATTCTTTAGTCATTGTGGCAGACATAGGCTATTGCTCTACTCTTCATTGTCACTGGCAGTCGCTTGGCAGTCAAATTATATTTTACGTTTTTTACCCAAGTGATTGTTATTACACTCCTAAATTTTTTAAAGACAATATTTTGCTACCAAAGCATTTTTTTTCAGAAGGGTTAATTTTAGATATAGACTATTTGATATCTAAATTCTTGAAATTCGTTAGAGAATTAAAATCTATAAAAATGAGATATCCATTTAAAATAAGAAAGCCGTTGATAACTTCTAGTATTTTCTAAAGTATCGCAATATTGAAAAAAATATATTTTTAACCAACCAAGAAATTTAATTAAATACCGATGTGTAAAAAATCCAGTATCCCAAGATATTGTAGTTTTCTTGAAGTTTCTAAAGTACTCACTTAGATATACGCTATACTTTCGCTGAACAAAATATATCCAATATACAGGGTGAGTTTTAAATAAGTGCAAATATTTTTAGGCGCGGTATATTTCGACCCCAGGAACACGTCTACGAGGTTTTTCTAAAGTTGAAAATCGTGTATTTTCTCTTAAATTTTCCTGTATATTTTAGAAAACCTTTTAGAACTGCCCACTCATCGCATTTTTCCGATGGTCAAATTTCTTAATCCCTGATATTACCATGGTTATGGCTTTACTCTTTATTCTATGGTTACGACACTAAAAGTAATGCAAATACAGAAAATAAATCTGGTGGCTCTCCTTTTTTTTAAATAAGTTTATTTCTTTTATCGAGATCTGCCAGCCCTGAAAATGTTTGCACATTTAAGACTCACCCTGTATTATACTCTTCAATAGTAATTAGTTAATAACTTACATCTGAAAGAGCATTAGAAGGTTTTAACACCAGGTTCCTAGGAAGGGTAGATTCCGCCCTGTTGGGGGTACCTTGCCCAACCGGCAGATCTGGCACTATGTAAGTAGTGTGCAGTTCAAATTCCTCCTCAGCTATTGCGCTAGGATCGAAATCGCTAGCGGAGGATACTGCTGCCTCTTCCATGATGTCCTGTAAAGAAACACAAGATTACATGTATTTTATCAAAGTATATAGAGTATGAATCAAGTATTTTTTATTCAAGAATTTTTTGAATAATGACATAAAGAATTCTTTCGGAAAACTGTATCATATTATTAATTTATTAGTATAAAAATGTGCTTAATTTTAAAACTTTTCGATTATCCGCTATAACTTAAAAGTATATAACTAATATTCTACGTTATTTTTCTTCCGGATTAGGTATAAAAATTACTTATTTTATTTTATCCGATAACTTTATACAATAATAATTACAATCGTATATATACAAGGTGTCCCAGAAATAAGTGCAAGTATTTTAAGGGCTGGTAAATCTCGATAAAAGAAACATATTTTGTCTTTATGGTTTTTTAAGTCCAAAATAACGAAGTTATTCTACTTTGAAAATTTCCAAAAAAAATGATTTTTTGCTAAAATTTTGAGAACCATTGGATCTTTTCTGGATTTTCTTTCTTGTAAATTTAATTTACTATCTATGTTGCCATATTATCAAGAAATTATGGTTTTTAAATAGAAACTAAAAACATTTCCAAAATTTTTTTCAAAAAATTCCGAATTTTCAAAATTTTTTTTCGCGAAAAAAACCTCACAGGCGTGTTTCTGGGGTTGAACTATACTACCAGTTAAAATACTTGCACTTGTTTATGGAACTCCTTGTATATACATATACAGGGTGTTTTTACGACTAGTGTCATTTCCCGCTCCTTGACTTCCATAAATTCCGGTCCCACCAGTCGCCATTTATCAGATGTGTTTCAAGCATGGCTTCCTGTATAGGGTGTCCCATTTTTGTTGAAATCATAAGGTATCTCCGTTTTTCGTGAAGATAGAAGGATGCGGTTATTTGGGACACCCACTGTTTGTTAAAGGTATTGAGACGTTGAAAACTGTTTTTTGTAGAATTTTTTTTTTAGAATTTAGAATGAGTGGGAGGGGGGTTAATCACTTCGACCTTACAGATCCATTGTGTCCCCCTTTCTTGAATCATAACTCATCATACAGTCCCAGGGCTTTGACAAAAGCCAGTATCTGGGACGGTTTTATAGAGGGTAGTTCTCCATCTCCAATATCAGTCGTACCAAAATTCATGGCACGAATGGTTGTCGTCTCGGCGCACTCAGTGATGAGGTGTACTGGTGTTTCACCATCTTCCCCACAGAATCTGCATTCGCCGTTTCTTCTTAGTTTCAATCTACTGAGGTGTTCATTGAGGAGACAGTGTCCTGTTAAAAACCCCGTGACAATCCGAAGATTGTTCTTACTCAGACCCAGGAAGATCTGTGATTTTTCTTGATCATAAGCCCTCAGAAACTTCTTCGAGTGTCCTAGACCATTGCTTTTTTTTTGTAGAAAGTTTTACGTAGAATACAGTGGCGTAGTCTGTTATTCTACGAAAAGAATATTTTAAAAAATATGAACTAAAGTTATGTTTTCTTAAATGGAACACCCTGTATATTTATAAATTATGTGATCTGGCTTGCCATAAGCTTCTCAAAAATATATAACACTCTATATTTATTTTCATTATTTAATGCAATATTTAAAAAATATATTAGAAGATCATATTTATTAGTAGGCCATGATTGATAATAAAAGAAACTAAAGAAAAATTAAAAGTAATACTGCTATCTGTCTTGTTTTATTTTGAGAGCCACTAATTAATTCTTTGTATATTAGAGAAACTTAAATCTCTACCGCTATTTGTAAATCTTGGAAGCTATCCTATCGGAACTTTTAAATATTTCATTAGCTAATTTACGTGAAATATACTTTCAGCAAGATGGGACTCCTCCTCAGAACTTAACTTACAACGAAAATATTAGAATTTTGTTAAATTATTATTTCTCAAATCAATGAATTGGAACCAGTGTACTCATATGATAGTCTCCCTGATTCCTGGATTTGTCCGTTCTCGATTTCTGATTTTGGAGATTTTTGAAATATGAAATATATCGTGGCCACTAATATGATGTCGAATACCTGGAAAATGCTTTAATAATGCAATCTTTCAGATATTTGCAAACCCATCCCATTATAATAAATTCCGTTATGTTATAAAAATGAGAAAAATATATTCAGAGGCAAGTAAAAGTAAAATGAAAGTAAAATATATCAATTCCAAATAAAATGTCATAATGTAAAAAAAAATGTAAAATTTTAATATGTGCATGTCCATATTTTAGTAAATATCATTCTGATTTTGTTATTTATCACGGCCTACTAATAAGAAAATGATATATTTAAAATATTGCAGTAAATAGTGAAAATAAATATAGAATAATATACATATTTCAGAAGCTCATAGCAAGGCGGATCATATGATTTACAAATATACAGGGTGTTCAATTTGAAAAATCCTAACTTTACCTAGTTCATATTTTCAAAAATATTTTTTTCGTAAAAAACAGACTATGCTACTGTATTCTAGATAAAACGTTCTATAGGATCAGTTTTCACCTTCTCGATATAATCCATAATAACGGAGATACGGGGGCTGTCCCAAATTGCAAAATTTTCGAACTATGGTATGGATATTGGTTCTGAAACACCCTGTATATTTCAAAATAATTTTAAATTGTGCACATTGTCTCCCCACACATACCCATATAATATTTTGTTTCTACATCTTTCCGTTTTCGTATAATCATCCGAGGCAATGAGGCACCTTGTATAATTCATTTAAAAAAAAAAAAAAAAAAGATCGTTTCAGCCATTCTGAAATACTTTTTAGTCAGACTAACTAGTCTGACGTTCTTCTTAATATTATCAAAATGTAAAATTATAAAATTAATTTCAATATTTTCTTGCGATACAAATGCGCAGTTTTGAAATTTATTTTTATAAACATTTACATTTAGTACTTTAGTAACGGGGTGTCTGAATCCCGTTATTTTATCGCACTTATACAATAATTTTATCAATTTTAAGTCACATGTAAGGAACGATTGTGGCATTCTTAGCACAACTCGTATCATAAAGATACGCCTTTAAAAATAGTTTATCGAAAAATCGAACAATTTTAGCGATAAATTTTCCTTTTATAAGCAAAAACCTTTTGTCCAGTCTTTTCAAGTGAAAGGATGTGGGTCAGTATGCATGTACCCCAACTATTGATTCCCTGCAGTCATCGCACTCCGCTTCGAATCCTTGTGCTGACGTCATAAAAAACGTCATAGTTGCAGTTAGAAAATAGACTTTTTTACCTAACAATTAAGGAAATAATATTTAAAATGTTCTTATTTAGTTCTTTTCTTGCGACGACATCTTATTTAATTAACTATTAGTTAGATATACATGGTGTCCCAGGCTGAGCGTATATTAGAATTTTCTAGAGAACTACAACATCTAGCTCGGAGATCTAGACACACACATAGTTTCACAACGAGATCTATCGATTAAAAATATTTTCTATATGGCGGCACTTCTGGAAATACCGGAAGTTGACAGTAACTTTCTTATTTTAAATGGGTGCCCCCATTTCTTATTACATACTTAAATTCCCTGTAAAATTTTATGAATTTTGATATTAAACACTCTATATCTAACATTGACCGTTTTTGAGAAAAAAAAATATTTGAATGAAAAAAAACTGCCTGTCAAAAATATGTGTATACCCTAAACGTCAAATTGAGTAATTACCACAGCCACTGTGCCATAAAGAGAAAACATGTGGCTATCTAATTCAAAAATTAAATTGTTCGAATGTCATATAATAATGGCTGCAGCTGTCATAGAATTGAGCGATTAAAAAATTATCATAAATCTTAATAATAAATAAATTTTTTCTAATGGAAACCGACTTTTTTTTATTTCGCTAGTGAAAAGGCTTTTCAATTCGTTACTTTTTGATTATACATCTTCCTACACCTAAAATAAATCGTTCTTAAGTTATTTAAGATTTAGTTTTAAAGCGTATATTTTTCTTGATTTTAACCAGTAGCCTATGACTTTAAACGTCAAGTGACGTAAAACAATAGATCTGGCCATATCATATTGTGACACTTTCTTCAAAAAGTAGCATCATTTCCGAGCCAACTTTGCGCCTGTTAATTAATGAATATTATTAATAATATACTATATAACTTTAGAAATCACTAAAGAGCGAAAATACGAGATACACTTTTTAGCAGGCAGGCGATATTTGTAATATAGGAAATTCAAATAGTTCGTTTTCTGACAGATGGAAATAAATTGTCTGACCGTTTGACACTTGTCACAATGTCAAAGGAAGCTAGATAAAATCAAGGAAAATATACGTTTTCAAATTAAATCTTAAATAACTTAAAAACGATTTATTTTAGGTATAGGAACATGTATAGTTGGTTTCCATTTGCAAAAAATGATTTTTGATAATTCTTTAATCGCACAATTCCATGACAGCTACTGTCATTATTATATGACATTTGAGTAATTTAATTATTAAAATAGATAGCCACATGTCTTCTCTTTAGTGGATGTGGTAGTCACTAAATCTGACTTTTAGGCTATACAAATTTTTTTGACAGGTGGTTTTTTTCGTCCAAAAATTTGAAATAACTTTTTCTCAAAAACGGTCAATGTTAGATATAGAGTGTTTAATATCAAAATTCATAAAATTCTACAGAGAATTTAAATATGTAATAAAAAATGGGGGCACCCATTTAAAATAAGAAAGTTGCTGTCAACTTCCGGTATTTTCGGAAGTGCCGCCATATTGAAAATATTTTTAATCGATAGATCTCGTTGTAAAACAATGATATGCAAAAAATCTCCGATCTAGATATTGTGGTTCTCTAGAAACTTGTAATGCACGTTCAGTCTGGGACACCCTGTATGCAGAAATAAATATAATGTAATTATTTTCTTCAAAAAGCATAGTGTTTTTTAAAGAGGGCTTTTTATAAGTTATATTTTTTCTTAAAAATGAAATACAATGGATCAGTTGTTAGAATTTAGAAGTACAGAGAATATATAGAGAAGCTGAATAAATTAGGCAAAGAAAACAAAGTCCTCTTACTCTAGTTGCCTTCTCACCAAGGGATAAAAGGCAATGAAAAAGCAAATGATTTAGCTAGAAAAGGAGACACTCCACTAACTGGACCAGAACCGTTCTGCTTCCCAAGTGGTAACCAACTAAAAGCGGAACTCAAGAACTTGGAAGACCCCATCCGTAACCTGGGAATGTTGCAATGGTCTAAGACACTCGAAGAAGTTTCTGAGGGCTTACGACCAAGAAAAATCAAAGATCTTCCTGAATTTAAGTAAGAACAATCTTCGGATTGTAGCGGGGTTTTTAACAGGACACTGTTTCCTCAATGAACACCTCAGTATATTGAAACTAAGAAGAAACGGCGATTGCGGGAAATTCTGTGGTGAAAATGGGGAAACACCTGAACACCTCATCACTGAGTGCGCCGAGACGACAACCATTCGTGCCATGAACTTTGGTACGACTGATATTGGAGATGGAGAACTACCCTCTGTAAAACCGTCCCAGATACTGGCTTTTGTCAAAGCCCTGGGACTGTTTGATGAGTTATAACTCAAGAAAGGGAGACACAATAGATCTGTAAGGTCGCAGTGATTAACCCCCCTCCCATTCATTCTGAATTCTAATTCTAATCTGTTGTTAACTTCTAAAATGTTTATTTAATTAATGAGAATGAAAATTGCTATATCACAAACCAATTATTAATTACTATCTTTTAGAAAATGATCTTCTAGATATAAAAAAGTGTGCATATATTTATATACTTTATAGTTAATAATATTGATTATGAATAGTGACAAGAAAATGCAAGACAAAGGCCTTCCTTGGTCTTGGTCTTGCGTAAAACTCTTGCAAGTATTGCATTTCTAATATATTTTAAGTAAATGTATTTCTTATTTTTTTATTTTTCAATAAATTATATTGAATCTAACCTGTTCTTTCTTTAAAATTTTATACAATAGGCGGGAAAACACTATTTATAATAAATTAAAAATATAATTATGAGCACTGAAAATAAAACATTCATAAATCAAATATATTTTTAGCATATTACTCCTATTTCTGTTTAAGTTATTTGAAAAATTCCTAAGTTTTGAGATTTTCAATATTCGAATGAGTACAGTAATATTTCTATAGTAGTCTTTTATTTTATTTAGATTTTTGTTTACTCTGCCTTGGATTTTCTTTCCTCAACTATGTTATTTTGTACAGATGATGCGCTATATTAGAAATATTAGTCTATGCACAGCCGAGATAATTTATGGAATTAAAATAAAACACTAGTTCAGCACAATACATCCAAAACAATTTACTTCAAGTCGACGCGTATTTTGCATACTGGGTCTTGGTCTTCGTCTTACGGATCTAACGCTAGTCTTGGCCCTTGGTTGGAATTAATCATGCTCTTGCTTCTTGAGGAAGACTAAAAATCAAGACGGCGAGACTAGAAGGTATAATGTATGCGAGGTTAATCACCGCGACCTTACAGAGTTACTGTGAGTCCCCATTTCTTGAGTAATAATGAGTTATAACTCATCATACAATCTCAGGGCTTTAGCAAAGTATCTAATACGAAACCGTCATACGAAAGGTTAGTTCTCCATCTTCGATATTATCGTACCAAACTTTATGGCACGAATGGTTGTCGTCTCGGTGTACTCGGTGAGAAGGTGTTCTGGTGTTTCACCATTTTTCTCACAGAATCTGCATTCGCCGTTGTTTCTTAGTTTCAATCTACCGAGGTGTTCGTTGAGGAGACAACGTTCTGTTAAAAATAATGAAACAATGACAATCCGAAGATTTTTCTTACTTAAATCAAGGAAAATCTTTGATTAGACTCTTTGGTGTTCCTCAGTCGTAAGATCTGAGAAATTTCTTCGAGTGTCTTAGACCGTTGGGGTATTTCCATTCCAGATTACGGATGGAGTCTTCCACATCCTTGAGTTTAAGTTGGTTACCACGTGGGAAGCAGAATAGTCCTACTCCATTTAGTGGAGTGATCGCTCCTTTTATAGCTGGATTGTTCGCTTTTTCATTGCTTTCTATCCCTTAGTGAACCGGCACTCAGAGTAGAAGGAGTTTATTATCTTTGCCTAATTTGTTCAGTTTCTCTAGACATTCTTTGACCAACTTCGCATAGATGGTTACTGAGTTTATCTCTTTTAATGCTTCATGCCTATCGGTTAAGATGGTTATTTCTTGTTTTTGATAGTTCCTATCTAAGATGAGTTGTACGCATCTTTCGATAGAGTAGATTTCTTCCTGAATAAGGATGCTGGGTTAAGTGCCCATTGGTTCTGAGTATTTAGTTTTCGGCTTAAATACTCCTATCCGTGTCCCTGCTTTGGTTTTGGAAGTATCAGTATACTTTGTTATTGTATGATCTTTTACTTGCTGAACAAACGCTTCTCTCTTCCAATCCTTTTTATTGCTTAATATTATAGTCAGGTGTTTCTCAAAGTTGTACATTCTTGGTATGTCATCCACTGGGAGGTGAAGGAGTGGAATTTTCTTTTTGAGGGGGTTCCAAGCTCTTGAGCTAACAAATTTTCCAGTAGTTCAGTACCGTCAGTGACCATTCTAATTATTGTCGCATAGGCATATCGCAAGACTAAGATCAGTCTCGCTCATCGAAGATATTTGATAATTTTTTTAAATTTTATTATTTGTTCTTAGTAAGATACAGATAGAGATAAGAAGGCATTTCTCGGATCATTCAAAATAAACAGGTTATAGGTTTTTAAATAGAAGAATCTGAACTTTAACATTATCTAATACATAATATGTCTTTTTTTTCAATCCTTAATCTTGATAAACTTACTTATAATTGAATTTGAAGTTTTGGATAAACATCGTTAATGAATATACATAATTGTGATAAATAAAAATTAATGTAACTGAAATAGAAACAAAACCACTAAACAGATCTTTAATGTTTACCTAATAATCATTGCAAATATCCTATTGATATCTATTTACTTTATTAATTGACATAAACCACTTTGTTGTCGAATTTCTCTAAATTATATAGCATTCAAAATTCAACTGATTTAGTTCGAGAATATGTAATGTTTGTTGCGGAAATTTTAGACTGGCTGTAAACAACACATGCAAATAACTTAAACAACTTTTACTTTCTTACCTCTCTCATTTCAGACTGTGACGAGGACCTTAACTTTTGATCAAGGCATTTAAAACCTGAAACAAAAATATCTAAGTTATCAAGTGCCTCAAATTTTATTACAACGCATCCTTAATCCATATCATTATATATTTTTAAACAGTAACTTTTATATTATGCTTTTAATAAAATATGATATTTTAGTATAATAAAATAACAAAAATTTATTGAAAAAAAATATATTCCTAAACTATAATACACATTTTGGTATATCTGTTTGAATAATATTCATATATTTCAATATAATGTAATATACTGAAATATACAATATAATTTGTGTATTGTTGGAAGCTTCCCATCCAGATTATGAAATATACTGATATATAATATTTCTAGAAATTTTCTACCAATATTAAGGTGGAACCAGTGATAAAATAATCTAAATCTTTAAATTATATAGACAAATAAATTTAAATTCGTATGCACTAATATTAGTGCAAGGTTGAATGCAGACTAGATGTGACGTCGTACACGTATATATCTCGTTCTCTATTCTACGTTGCAATTTTGCTAGCTTTCCTTATCCTTAATCATAACCTTGGCTACTGGCTAATTCGTTTGTTCGACTGATCTTGAAATAAATCATGCAATTATTATTCTTAGTAAAATATACAAATATTAAGTAATAACTATTATGCACTGTAGCTTTATTTAAAGTTGCATTAGCATTTAGTCGCAGTTTATTATTTGTAGTTAAAGGTTAAAAATATAACTACTTCATTGCAGTAATAGAAATTTTGATTTTCTTTTAATAAAATGTCTCGTTAAATTTACATGTTATTCTTGATTGTGGTTCTCTATTCTCGTAAACCAGGCTTATATTTGAAGGCTGATATTTAAAAGGAAAAACAGTGGTAGTAGGGTAATATTAATACGTTAGGTTTTCGACAATTATGCATTTTTGTAGTAGATAATGTGGCATAAGATTGTGAGCTATTTGAACTCTGATCTACCGTAAATATTGTTGAAATTAGTTAATTTTAGATTTATCCTCAAGCAGTAATTAACCTTGCCCAACCTTCACTCGCACGGTTCCTATGCAAAAACTAGTTCCAAACACTGAGCTTTTTTTCCAAAAAAACTTTTAAAAGCCGGTAAAGTTCCCGACTATTGTATAAACAAACACTGTTCTAATAATAAACACAGATACTTGCCATTCACCTTGCCGTGAACTTGAAATTCACTTATCTAATTGCACTAACAAAATGCATTTGCTCGATACATAGAATAAATTGTAGCCTTTACCTTCGACAACGTCCTGAGGAAAATAGATGACGAACATGGGCACGTTTTTTATGTGAACTGGAACATTTTTAACAAATTTGGTTGCACATTGTGAAGGGAACCCATTCTTTTTCGGCGCGCATAAAGGTCAGAGTTCAAAAACTGTTGATTTCGGCTTCCTGTCGAAAAAAAGCGTCGGATCACTACATCTTCACTATAACTGAACAAACTTTTACAAGAAATGACCAAATCGGCTCAAATCAACCAATATTTACTTTATTTTGACACACTAAAACTTGTATACCAACGAGGTCGGCATTTTCCGGTCGCCATATTGGATTTTCACTTTTGATGGTATTGAGCGTCGAAAATTTCTCTGATTTTTCACAAGGGAAACGGAAAAATTCGGGAAATATCAATGTTTAACCTAGAATATTAGACGACTAAACTATATTTAGATGTAGGTAATTGCATCTAATGCAGTTATTGCCAATTTGATAGTGAAAACATGCAGGTCTAAAAATAGAACAATCGATAGAGTTTCATTGTCACTTTTATTTTTTTTTTCTTGACTTAAACGTTTTAATTTTATTATTTTAATAAAGGTTTAATTAATATGTGTTTATTTTTAACGTTCTATCTGCATTCGAGGGATAAACCGATTAAAAAAATCAAAGGATTTAAAACGCAGTTATAGCATACATTTAAATAATTAATTGTTCACTGGGTAGTTAAAATATATTTTTTCTACGAAATATACAAGTGTTCTTTGAAATAATCAGATAATACATATATATATATATATATATATATATATATATATATATATATATATATATATATATATATATATATATATATATATATATATATATATATATATATATATATATATATATATATATATATATATACAAAGCGCCATTAGGTTCTTGGCTAGTAAAAAATAACTGATTTCATTAGTGCATAAGTAATAATTCATGTATTCCTTAATTATTTTAACTAACTCAGTTTCTTGTAACAATATACCTAATCAGTATAATAATTGTATTTTATTGTTTGTATAGAAAATAATAGTAAGTTTTCTTTTCGTAAAGGTCAATTTCTAAACGAATTTTATATTTTTCTTCAAATTATTATGACATTAAATGAGAAAAAAATTCGAATTCATAAAATAACTTTAAAATATCATCCTTATTTCACTTTATTTTATTCTAACATTTTGTTAAAGTATGACATCTTAGTTTCACTTATTTGACATTAAACTTAGGCAATTCCTATTAATCTTACTAAGCGTATAAACGACAACTATTTGAAGAAACCTACCAATAAAAAATTATTTTTGACCTAAAATGAATGTTTTGTTACTGAATTCACCCGTTAATAAATTTTGTTAACCACAAAGGTATTTTGCTTTTATTTCAGTTAATTATAGTACTAATCTGAATCATTTATATTAGTATACTAAATCAACAATTATTTAAAGATAAATGCTAATTTGATAATAGTTTGAGACTGTTTAACAGAAACTACATAATTCGACTACAAAAATACATCAAATTGTTTTATTTTCATATTGAGATTTTAGTTATTTTTTTAGTTAATAAACGTGGTTAATAAATGATATGAAATTTGCGCAGTTATGAAGACAAATTAAAAGAAAATCATTAAATTCCAACATGCAATAGGTATATCTTTTAGCATTTCATTTTGTCCCACATTCTAAATGGTTTTGATTAATTTATTTTTTGAACCTGAACATTCATTAAAGGGTTTCTACATATTTTTATCACACTTTCGATAAATTACTATAATTAGGAAGGACATGTGTGATATATTCTTAAAGATAGAACTGAAGTTTATATCAATAACTATAAACGTAGGACAAAACAAAATCCAAACACTGACCAAAGCGGCTCGACATCCGCCTAGAAAGCAAGCTATTCCTTAATTCAAGTTCAATTTCGCGCCATCGAGTCACGCTTGAACGTGCGTGCCACGCACTATACGCACCTCCTTAGGAAACGTGGACGCATCCGGTAACGGGGTGCGTGCGTAAGAAATGCGGCTACGCATCGGGCGCCGAGGAGATTTCGCGCGCTTTTCCGGGGTGGTCGAGACGCGGACGATTTGGGGGTTGCGTGTCGTCGCCGGCCACCGAATTTTCGAGTTGCCGCCGCCGGAAAATGTTGGCCATCCAAACGCCGACCTAGCTCAACGCGCTCTGCTTTGGAGAGGCGGGCTTGGGTGCATCGCGCGAATGCAACTCGGTGGCCCGCCTGCTGGCGGCCCGTTCCACGATATCTCTTGGCTCGTTCGCACACACACATGCAATCTACGCTTGTCGTGTCCTACGTCTATGCGATAACGGCGTATTGCGCAACTAAGTTAAGGGTACACATTTTTTATGTGTTATTATCAATTTTTTACGTTATTTTAACATTACCATTTGGAAGAAACTGTACTGATAATAGTTATTTTTTATACAAGACGATAAAATGGTATTTTATCGTCGACCAAAAAGATTAATTCACGAGCGATGAAATCGCGATTGAATTAATTTCGGGAAACGATAATGCGTTTTTTTCGTCGTGTATAAAACAATATTTTTTTCCATAGCAAGTTTAATAACGTTTTAAAAAATATTCAGAAATTATTATTTCAAGGAATTTATTACGAGTAGAAAAAATATTGTGCTGGGTTGGCGTTGGTTTCTATGTAATTTGACAAATAAATAAAGCTGTCTCTTTAGTTGAATTAGAAATGGCTCAAACCGAAATAAGTAAATTACCAACAGATATTCTGGCTGAGGCGACAAACCCCATATCCAAACTACTTCCATTTAAATCCCGAATAACTTATGAAAAGGAATACAAACATTTTTAAAAATGGAAGCAATTAAAAAACGTGCGTGAAGAAATTAAAGAAAGCGCGAAAGTTTTTAACCTATCCTCGCTGTTAAAGTATCATTTAATCTACCCTTGCGGTTAAAGTACTATTTTATCTACTATTTTTGATAGATATAAGACAATTTTAACAGTTGCTATGGAAACAAAATATATTGTTGAGTCAAAAGTATACAGTTGGTTTTTATGTCAATGTTTTGATATTTCGGTTGCATTTCTCTAACAAAGATAACGCTTATTTAATTTAAAAAAATGCTCTTAAATTGAGCAAAAATAATTTGTGTTCCTAGGTCATAGAGTTAGATTCTCATACTCTTCAAGAGATAAGTATTATAGTAGTAGCGATACAGTTCATACCAAATACACTTTTAGTCACGTGATTAAGCTTGACCGGCACAGCGTTGCCCATTTTTATATATTTTCTTTTAATCAAAATATTTTAGGAAACAAAAATAAATTAATTATAAATATATAAACAGTTATTTAGTTATTTACATCGACAAAATTCACCTTCTTAACAGCACTTAAGGGACATAAAGGCTAAGGCCATTACTACCGCTTTCCCGTTCAAAATATTCTAATAAAGATGCGATGAGTTTTTTACGGCTATTAAAAACTAACCACTTCGCACTAATAGAGGTTCTAAAAAGAACAATGTTCGACTGCAAGGTCTGCTAGTCAACATTTTCAAGCTTAAAGTATCATAACACTATTTATTTAAAGCAAAAACTCGTAATACAAAACTAAAGTGTCAAAACGAATGACAATGTCAGGAAATAAATAAATGCGGCAACTTGACATTTTATACAGCAGAGTTACCACCTGAATCCCCAGCGCGAAATTTAAATTCCAATTGGTCAGCACGAATGGCAACAATGAATTTAAAAATCACGCCCTCGGTTACGTAACTAAAATTTTAATTGATATGAAATATAGATATTAAGTATAGTATGTAGCACCTAAAAATCAAAAGGTGTTTCTATGGTAACAGTAAAATGGTAGAAGTCATATTTTTTTTGTTGTTAATATATCACATGTTCCGATTACTATTATCATCTAATCGAACTAAATAAATGTGTGTTCTGTAACATTTTAAAACAACAAAAAATATGACGTTAATTAAAATTCTTTCAATTATAATCTATCAAAAATGAAAACGAAATTATATTACCATAGACACACCTTTTGATTTCCAGGACTTTAGAAAAAATTAAATTATATTTTCATGTTTTTTTTAATTTTATCTAAACCGGTATGGAAATTTAGAAAATTATAAACGGAATTAACCAAATACAGGGCGAGTCTTAAATAAGTGCAAATACGATTCCAGAAACAGATCTATGAAGCTTTAAGCGCAAAAAAATTGAAATTGTTTAAATTTTATGTTAAAAACATATCTTCAGAATATGAAAACATAGGTAGTAGATTACATTTACAACAGAGAAATCCCAGAAAAGACACAGTGTTTCTCGAAATTTAACCAGAAATTATTTTTTTCTTATATTTTCAAAGTTAAATAACTCACTAATAAAAACAGTAAAGAGATAATATGTTTTTTTATCGAGATCTACCAGCCCTGAAAATATTTGCACTTATTTAAGACGCACCCTGTATAATACAAGCAAACATTTTCATGAAGAATGCATTTTTCTTTTAGGGATCGCTGAAGTGCGAAGTATAAATGAAATCTTTGTTTTTGTTTATTTTAAATTACTCTTTATGTTGGTTCGGTTGAATATGCTCATAATCACCGTTTATATAGCGAAGCCTTATGGAGTTATTGGTCTTTACGACAAACACCATACAAAAAATAGTACTTAGTAATAATGGAAACGAAGAGAGATTTTACGAACTAAAATATTAGTAATATACTTATTTGAAGGATCAAATATATTTAGTTTTGATTCGCCTTGTATGTATCATGAAATATAGAGTGTTTTAACAAGTTAAAAGAGATATACATAAGATAAAATAGGTATATTAATTATTAAGGAAATATGTAAAATATATTGTAAATTATATTTAGTTTTTGGGAATTATTCACAATAAACCAGTTGTATAATGAAAAATAAATTTGCATACAATTATCACTTAGAAATAAATGCATTAAGCATATGTAGCAATCTTAGAAACGAATATCAAAAATTCTTGCCAATTTGGTGAAAGCACATTTCGACGTTGCATAGATATGCACTAAGTTGCATTCATCTTTTTCTAAAATACTACTTTGAAAAATATATTTTATTAAATCTGCTATGTTTAATTATTTTGGAAATATGATTTTAAATTCATACATTATATAAATAATGCAGTAATATAATAAATTAATTATAATATGTAACTAACAATTTATTTTATTATTATTTTTCTTTGACAGTTAAAATTAAATTACGTTAATCTTAATAGAAAAATGGTACATTTTCTATGTATCGCATACTTTAGAATTATTTTAGATATAGGTACATACAGATAAAAAATGTTGCTTTTTTTAGCAAACATGGATGAATTTTTATTAATTTTAAATGAAAATGAATAACAGTTTTTATATATTTTTTATTACCATAAACGCTATTCTACGTAATAGTATAATGTTATAAACTATGGACAAATATT